TGTCATGTTCAGTGGAAATACAGAGATGAGGCAGGGGAGGGAAAAGGCCTGGTCAGTCCTTCTGACTTCTGAGGATCCAAACTGCCCTGAGGGGATAGATTTTCTTTCTTATGGAACGTGGGAGGAGAGCTGCCAATAGGAACACAGCCCTGTAAGCAGGCAGAGAAGGGGTGGGATTTCTCTCAGGCCTGCTTCTTTTGCTTCCTTTTTTTAAATAGGCAAAGTAAAAGAGCATTTAAAATTATAATAAAACAAACAAGCAAAACCCCCAACACCTTTCATACCGCAGTATATAAGCCATAATATTTAACACTTAGATTTTAATAGCCTCTGGGAGAAAAAGATGGCTTAAATTTCCCGTTTCCTACATGGCCCACATCTGGTCAACATGACATGCTTTCCTTGCTCTGCCACTGCTGGGTGGGCAGTTAATGCCCCCACAGTCCTCTGGCACAGAACGTTTGTGCTTCCCCTCGTGTGAGTCAGGCACTGGTCCACAGGGTCCCCCAACTGCAGGAGGCACACAACAAGCAACCTTCCGGGAGTCCCACTGAAGAACCCTTCAGTAATTTTGGAGTTAGAAAGTAGTACCCTCAACCCTTTCAGTCAGTGGGATTTGCTTAGGGCACTCTGGGAGAGATTTCTTGAAGAAGATAACATTTGTAGAATATATAAAATTCTGGCAAACATTAAAAGGTACACTGTATGACTGGGGAGCACTGAATTAGTGTTAGGTACAAAAAAGAAGACTTAAGTAAATGAAAATAGGCCATTATTATCACAAAAGGAAAAAAATGCTGGAAGGAAAAATAAAGCAACCCTTGCATAGTGCATGACTGAGCTCTGAATGCTTTCATTTAGTCATAATATGATAAACATGAATATTCACTTAATCAAAATTATGATATATTATTTCAAGAGGATGGGAGCTCAAAAGTGTGCACATGTGTGATGGGGCTGGAAGACGAAAGAAAGCAAACTTCTCATTTTCCATAGTGGGAAGACAACAGATAAAATCCTATTAATAACAAACCAAGAAAGAGCAATATAAGCATGTTATTTAGAGATATGGAGAGATCTTAAAAGAATCAGCTAATATAGTCAAAAGTGTTTGCATCTGTGCAACAGGAAGTGGGCTGGAAAAAAGCACAGGAACCATTTGACACTTTAAACTGCATGAATACATAAGTCTGAGTAAGTAAAAAGTAGACTGAAAAATTCTACACTATACATATTGCAATCTAAATCACATTCTGGTTGGGACTTAAAGAATACAAAACTAAAAATATTTACTTTCCACAAATGAAAAAAAAACTTTTAAAGCTACTTCAAAATAAAATCAAAAATAAATAAATAAAGCTACTTCAGGTGAAATGTGGAATATTTACTGTAGAAACTGTAACCATGTGCAGTGGCAGTAAATCAGGCCAGAACCAAAAAGGATTGGATGTAAAGAATTCAGAATTACATGCCTAATAAGTCATTTATGAAATATTGAAAAGAATCTGCCCCATAGGAAAATGTCATGGAAAGTTTACTGGCCCCACTTCACAGCTAGCTGCATTATAGACAATCCTGGGAGATGTCACACATCAAAGCTGTGTCCTGCAATGTTGCTTTCAAACTAACATTTCATAGCAAAACTAACAGTAAAAAGAACATTCATCATCAGTGACTTTAGCAAGTTCGTCTGTAATAATATGAAAAAATTTTAGTTGATTTCCTTATGGAAACTACTTTTGGGTATTTTAACATCAGTTATAAATGTATTGGTGATTTCAAAAAACTTAAATGAGCATAGTATTATACAATTTTATACATATTTTATAATGCTGCCTGATTTACTTGGTCATGGTGTGAAGGAAAAGCCCAGCTGGGCTAACAAGCTAACTCACAAATCTAAGTGTAACAAGTGTCGGATTACTGATCTAAGTTCTGCTGGGCTAACTTGT